CATATTATCAAAATAGCACACGTACCCCCCCCAAAAAAAATATGTACAGCCATTAAATATCAAGAAACATAATTTTTGGCCAGGCACAGTGGCTCATGCCTGTAATCACAGCACTTTGGAAGACTGAGGCAGATGGATTACTTGAGGTCAGGAGTTTGAGACCAGCCTGGCCAACATGGTGAAACCCCTGTCTCTACTAAAAATACAAAAATTAGTTGGGCAGTAGTGACGGGTGCCTGTAATCCTAGCTATTCAAAAGACTGAGGCAGGAAAATCACTTGAGTTTGGGAGGTGGAGGTTGCGGTGAGCTAAGGTTGTGCCACTGCACTCCAGTCTGGGTGACAGAGTGAGACCTTGTCTGAAAAAAAAAAGAAAAACAGTATTTTTAATCAATAAAAAGTCAGAAAGATGGAAATTCAGATATTTGAGCCCTGTATTTCGGCTCTGCCAATCTTCCAATTTCAGAAGACATAGCTGAAAAGCTGAACAGAGCTTTGGACAGATTCGTGACACTAGGGGAACATGAATTCAGGGAAAATGCTCAGGATCCAGGTTGAAGTTCAAATGGTCACACTCCAGGAAAAGGGTTGACTAGATGGGCCTCACAGACACTAACACCCAATCCTGAATTATCTCATTTCTGATTGGATTACATTTCTCTGACATCACTAATGTACCTAGCCATCTTTCAGAAGTAAACATAGAGTTTTGAAGTCTTTGGAATTAAAAAAAAAAAAAAAAAGGCCAGGTACAGTGGCTCATGCTTATAATCCCAGCACTTTGGGAGGCCGAAGCAGGCGGATCACTTGAGCCCAGGAATTCAAGACCGGCCTGGCCAACATGATGAGACCCCATCTCTACTAAAAATACAAAAATTAGCCAGGTGTGGTGGCATGCACCTGTAATCCCAGCTACTCAGGAGGCTGGGGCACGAGAATCACTTGAACCTAGGAGACAGAGGTTGCAGTGAGCCAAGATCGTGACATTGCACTCCAGCCTGGGTGACAGGGGGAGACTCCATCTCAAACAACAAAAAAAAGCCAAAGACTATTCACATACAAAGGACATGTATTCAGAATATATAAAGAACTCTTGTAAACCAACAAGATAATAGAAGATGAGCAAAAGACTTGACAGGCACTTCACACAAGAGGATATCCAAGTGAGTAATAAACATTAGTGTCAGATTTTAAAATTAGTTAAAAAAAACTCTCCTCTATTTCCAAAACAAGTAAAACAATAAAAATAATTTTAAAGTATTCCTTTCCAGGTCAGGTACAATGGCTGATGCTATAATTCCAGCACTTTGGGAGGCGGAGGTGGGTGGATCACCTGAGGTCAGGATTTCAAGACCAGCCTGGCCAACATGGTGAGACCTTGCCTCTACTAAAAATACAAAAATTAGACCAGTGTGGTGGCATGCACCTGTAATCCCAGCTACTTGGGAGGCTGAGGCAAGAGAATTGCATGAACATGGGGGGCAGAGGTTGCAGTAAGTCGAGATGGCACCATTGTGCTCCAGCTTGGGCAACAAGAGCGAAACTCCATATCAAAAAATATGTATATATTCCTTTCCAACGTTAAAAACAAAACAGAAATTATGTTAAAAGGTAACCCACACTGTAATCCCAGCACTTTGGGAGGCTGAGGCAGGTGGATCACCTAAGGTCAGGAGTTTGAGACAGGCCTGGCCAACATCTCTACTAAAAATACAAAAAGAAATTAGCCAGGCATTGGGCATGGTGGCAGGTACCTGTAGTCCCAGCTATTCGGGAGGCTAAGGCAGAAGAATTGCTTGAACCCAGGAGGTGGAGGTTGCAGTGAGCCGAGATCACACCACTGCACTCCAGCCTGGGTGACAGAGAGAGACTCAGTTTCAAACAAAAGGCAACCGCAGACTGGTAGAAAATATTTGCCACACAAATAATCTTTAAAGGATCAACACATAGAATACTTTTTTTTTTTTTTGAGACAGAGTCTCGCTCTGTCGCCAGGCTGGAGTGCAGTGGTGTGATCTCGGCTCACTGCAACCTCCTCCTCCTGTGTTCAAGTGAGTCTCCTGCTTCAGCCTTCCGAGTAGCTGGGACTACAGGCATGTGCCGCCATGCCCAGCTAATTTTTGTATTTTTAGTAAAGACCAAGTTTCACCTTGTTGGCCAGGATGGTTTCAATCTCCTGACCTCAAATGATCCACCCGTTCTCAGCCTCCCAAAGTGCTGATTACAGTTATGAGCCACCATGCCCGGCCTAGAATACATTTTTTTTAACTCCTATAAATAAAAGGGAAAAGCAAAACAGAAAAAAGGTACTTCTTAAAAGACAAAGCGTGAATGGGCAACAAATATAAGAAAAGAGGTTCACCTCGCTAATGACCACAGAAATGCAAAGTGAAAACACAATCAGATAATATTTTATACCCACAAGATTGACCAAAAAAGTAGTCTGTCAATTCTAAGAATTGGTAAGGACATGCAGCAAGGGGAAGGAGCTTTTCTATACTGCAGATGGAAATGTAAATTGGTCTAACACTTTGGAAGAATCTGTGTGTGTAAAAACATGTAAAATAATATTCTTGTCTGGGAACAGTGGTTCACCCCTGTAATCCCAGCACTTTAGGAGGTGCAGGCAGGCAAACTGCCTGAGCCCGGGCAGTGAGTTGTGATCGTGCCACTGCAGTCCAGTCTGGCAACAGGAAACCCTGTTTGTCTTTTTGCTGTTGTTGTTCAAATACCAAAGGTCAGGTGAAGGAAAACCCTGACTCAAAAGAAAGAAAAGAAAAGAAAAAATAAAAGGTAAGGAAAGAAAAGAAATATCCGAAAGAAAGAAAGATCTCCCATAATTTCACCTTTTTCTTTCTCTATTATCTCTCTTTTTTTGGACAGTCTCTCTGTCACCTAGGCTGGAGTGCAGTGGCAGGATCTCAGTTCACTGGAACCTCCACCTCCTGGGCTTAACCAATCCTCCAACCTCAGCCTCCCCAGTAGCTGGGATTAGAGGCACCCACCACCACTCCCATCTAATTTTGGGGTTTGGTTTTTGGGGACACGGGTTTTCACCGTGTTGCCCAGGTTGGTCTCAAACTCCTGTGCTCAAGGAATCCTCCTGTCTTAGTCTTCCAAAGTGGTGAGATTACAGGTGTGAGCCACACACCCACCTCCACTTTTAATATTATACATTTCTAGCTTAAAAAAAAAAGTTACTGTAATCTTATTTTTGTTTTTAATGAACAGCATTCACATAATTCAAAAAACAATATATTATAATGAGGAATACATTGAGAAGTCTCTCACCCTATCTCAAGTCTTACCCTCCGTCTCATAAGAAACCATGATCAGAATTTATGTGGAAATAAGAATCATGTACTCTCATTTATCCTTTCCTACACAAAAGGCATAATTAATATACTGTTTGGCATCTAGGCTTTTTTCACTTAGTAAGATATGCTAGAGATAGTTCCACATTAGTATGTTGGGAACTGATTCCTCACTCTTTTTCATAGCTGCTTAATGCTCCATTTTGCATATGTACTATAGTTTATAATATCAGTCCTCTAATGGATACTCACATAGTTTCCAATCTTTTTGTATTACATTCAATAACCTCATATACATATCACTTCATATGTAAGCAAGTGTATTTGGAGGCAAAATTCCCCAAAGTGGGATTGTTGGATCAAAATGCAAATATTATTCAGGATGGTTTTGATAACCACCAAGGATTGCTGCATTCCGCTCTCCTATAGCACTGTAACTCGGCCTTTGTTTCCCTTACATCCTCCTATATCCAGTATATTGCCAAACGTTTCAGTGTTTGCCAATCACGATGATTTGCATTTTTATTAAAACTGAAGCTGGCCTGTAATCCCAGTACTTGGGGAAACTGAGGTGGGAGGATTGCTTGGGCCTAGGAGGTGGAGGCTGCAGTGAGCAGTGATCGTGCCACCTGTCTCAAAAAAAGAAAAAGAAAAAAAAAAAAAAAAAAGCAGGCCAGGTGCTGTGGCTCACGCCTGTAATCACAGCACTTTGGGAGGCTGAGGCAGGTGGATCATCTGAGATCAGGAGTTCGAGACCAGCCTGGCCAACATAGTGACCCCCCCCCGCCCCCCGCATCTCTACTAAAAATACAAAAGTTAAAAAGTTAGCCAGACATGGTGACGCGTGCCTGTAATCCCAACTACTCGGGAGGCTGAGGAGGGCGAATCGCTTCAACCCGGGAGGCAGAAGTTGCAGTGAGCCAAGATTGTGCTACTGCACTCCAGCCTGGGCAACACAGTGAGACTCCATGGCAAAAAATAAACAAACAAATAAACAAACAAACAAACAGAAAACATAAAAACAAAAAATAGCCGGGCGCGGTGGCTCAAGCCTGTAATCCCAGCACTTTGGGAGGCCGAGGCAGGTGGATCACGAGGTCGAGAGATCGAGACCATCCGGGTCAACATGGTGAAACCCCGTCTCTACTAAAAATACAAGAAATTAGCTGGGCATGGTGGCGCGTGCCTGTAATCCCAGCTACTCAGGAGGCTGAGGCAGAATTGCCTGAGCCCAGGAGGCGGAGGTTGCGGTGAGCCGAGATCGTGCCATTGCACTCCAGCCTGGGTAACAAGAGCGAAACTCCGTCTCAAAAAAAAAAAAAATAAAATAAATAAAAATAAAAATAAACCACAAAAACACGAAGCTAGGCATCTTTTCATATATTTAAAGTCTATTTGTAACTACTAGTTTTCTATGAACTTTGTACGCCAGTCCTTTGCCTATTTGTCTAATTGACTGCTGCTTAATTCTTAGATATTTTTAAATGAATATTTAATATATTTATATTTGGAAAAACTTATCCAAGGAAAGAAGACGCTAAAACTCCTGTTATAAAACGAATATACCTGCCTTTCCTCCACGAGTCTGGAATCCGGCCAAAGAAAGATTTTAACAGACTGTCGGACGATGTCAACAAGACCCCGGACCTGACGCCGCACGTTCCCAATTAGCTCGCCTGGAACCTACCTAACATCTGTGCGTGCAAGTTCGGCTTGATTCCTGGCGGAAAGTTTGTGTGCGCATGCTCCAAAGAGCCGCGCCCCTAACGGAAAATCCTCTGCGCATGCTCATAAACCTGCCCCTGTAGGAGACCTGAAAGCTGCTTCCGCGAAGCCGGGCTGGCGCCGCTACACTCACTCAGGGACCCTGCTGTTGGAAAATGTCCAGAGACACCATCTCTGCTATGAAGAGGGAATGCCAGTACAACAGACACAAGGCGTCTTCCTGTGGCCCTTAAAGAAAAAACGCCGCATTTCAGCTCCTGTCCCTCTCCAAACGGTGTCTAAACAGAGCTCTAAAAATTAATGTTAGGGGCGGGACGGCGGGGAAGGAAAAAAAATTAAAAATGACATTACATTAATATTTTATATTGAGGAGGAAGTTGCTTACAAAGGACTTTCAAGCGTGGTCAGGGGTTAATAATCCACATTTTTTTTAATATTCCATAGGCTGCGTTGGAGAGAAAGGCACAGGAGCAGAAAAGCCTGGGAGAAACCACCTGTCATTCTTGAAGAAAAAGATGCTCTGGCTTTCCCAATTTGATTGATGGGATGGAGAATCAACCCTTACAGAAAGACACTATCAATTCCGGAAAGGATGCTGTGTCAGTCACATTTCTGCACTTTGTGAGACGTTGAAATCTCCAGAAGTTGCCCAAGGTTTTCAAGCTGAACACCGGAGAAAAGGCTCTGGATCCCTGAGGACTCAAACAGGAGCTGCAATCTTGGCTCCACCACTCTCCGTCCAAAACATCTTGTGTGTCTATCCGGTTATAGTGTGGCCTGCGAGAGAAGTTTCTTTAGGGGCATGTGTATTTAAAAAAAAAAAAAAACCAGGTCCTACCAACACATTAATACTTTAAATTTCCCTCTTTATAATAGGTTGAAATGTCAGATAGTACCTCTTAAGAACAATGGCTGATCCAAATGTTTCCTCCAAACTCACAGTTTTTCCACCATTTCAGAAGCTGCCTGAGGACTAAGCTTTAATTTTTTTTTTTTTTATCTTGCCCACATTCGCAAGGGGTCTGGGGAGTCAGCCCTACAAACCATAAATTCTCTTCAGATGCGTTTTAACCCTATACTGTATATGGTGACTTGCTTTCCAAGCTGATTCTGGCATAATATTATGTGACAAGAAAGTCAAAATATTCTGCCCCAGGCCAGGTACTGTGCCACACACCTGTAATCCCAGCACTTTGGGAGGCCCAGGCAGGTGGATCATGAGGTCAAGAGATCGAGACCATCCTGGCCAACATGGTGAAACCCCGTCTCTACTAAAAATACAAAAATTAGCTGGGCATGGTGACACGTGCTTATAGTCCCAGCTACTCGGGCGGCTGAGGCAGGAGAATCGCTTGAACCCGGGAGGTTGTAGTGAGTCGAGATCGCACCACTGCACTCCACCCTGGTGACAGAGCAAGATTGTCTCAAGAAAAACTATATATATATATATGTACCCCAACATGTTTCTTTGCTATTTTCAAATGGTCCTGCAAAGCTGTCCTTTGTGGGGGAAAATATGCATCTAACTCTCCTGAAGAGACTGAGAGTCTAGCATCTTTTTAAAGGTCTGAATAGGAAACATTTGTCTTCTGTCATCTCTAAAGCAGCCTCTATAAGACTTCAAAAGAACTTTGGGTCTCCATAATCTTTTATCTTAACCTGAAAATTTCCTTTCTATTGATCCCAGGTCTTTAGACAATTGTCATCTCAATCATCAATCAGAAAATGTTTAAATTTACCTATAGCCTGGAAGTCCCTGCTTTGAGTTGCCCCACCTTTCTGAACCAAACCAATGTATTTCTTAAATATATTTCATTGATGTCTCATGCATCCCTAAAATGCATAAAACCAAGCTGTGCCCCAACCACCTTGGGCACATGTTCAGGACCTCTTGAGTCATGGGCCATGGTCACTATTCGGCTCAGAATAAATCTCCTCAAACATTTTACAGAGTTGACTCTTTATTGACATGCCCATACCTGATGAAATGCTTCATCTAAATTCTTAGTGGACTGGCTAGTTCAGAAAATGGACCAGCCAGGTTTGCCTGAATGCAACCTTGCACAGCTATCCCACTCCTGGTTGGAGCCAGCTAGATCAGGAGATCTGTCCCCAAACTAATGTACTCCATGTCTTACATCTTTTTTTTTTTTTTTTTTTTTTTTTTTTTGAGACAGAGTCTCAGTCTGTCACCCAGGCTGGAGTGCAGTGGCACAATCTTGGCTCACCTCAACCTCTGCCTCCCAGGTTCAAGTGATTCTCCCGTCTCAGCCTCCCAAATAGCTGGGACTACAGGTGTGCACCACCAAGCTTAGTTAATTTTTGTATTTGAATCAGAGATGGGGTTTTGCCATGTTGGCCAGGCTAGTCTCAAACTCCTGACTTCAGGTGATCCACCCACCTTGGCCTCCCAAATTGCTAGGATTACATGTGTGAACCACCATGCCTGGCCCATGTGTCTTGGTCTTTATTACTAATATTGATTAAAAAATGAAACTTTGGGTAAAATTTCTATATTAGAATTTCTTTTTCTCTCTGTCTTGAAGCTTGTAACTACTTGCTCATGATTTTTTTGTGTTTAGCAATGTGTGTGTGTCATTGATGGCCTTTGTAAAAGTATGTTCAATGGAGCTGTGGAGACAGAGGTGCAATTAGAGTAGGTTGTAAGAATAAAAAGGAGCAGGCAAAAAAACATGTGTATACCAGTGGCCTTCAAAGGGTACACAGACTTTCTTCTTAAGGGATCAATTCCCAGATCTTCAGTTTCATATAAACTCTTTCCTAAAATTGACTTGCCTAAAAGCATGTTAGTGTTGTGGGCACAGCTTCTCTTTTCTCATTTTGTTTTTACAGTCATCCTTTTTCTAAAAGACATACATCTCCTCCTCCCTGTCTAACAATGGCACATTGCCCCACCGTATAAAACAGACCAGATGTGGCCGGGCGCGGTGGCTCAAGCCTGTAATCCCAGCACTTTGGGAGGCCGAGGCGGGTGGATCACGAGGTCGAGAGATCGAGACCAACCTGGTCAACATGGTGAAACCCCGTCTCTACTAAAAATACAAAAAATCAGCTGGGCGTGGTGGCGCGTGCCTATAATCCCAGCTACTCAGGAGGCTGAGGCAGGAGAATTGCCTGAACCCAGGAGGCGGAGGTTGCGGTGAGCCGAGATCACGCCATTGCACTCCAGCCTGGGTAACAAGAGCGAAACTCCGTCTCAAAAAAAAAAAAAAAAACAGACCAGATGTGACAAGCAGAGACACAATTCAAAGCATTTGTATTAAGAGAGTAGTAACTCCAATGCTTTATTTTGCAAGTCACATTTTTTTTTATTGTTGTTTGTTTTGGGACAAGGTTTTACTCTGTTGCCCAGGCTGGAGTGCAGTGGTGTGATCTCTGCTCATTGCAGCCAACCTCCCTGTCTCAAGGGATCCTCTCACCTCAGTCCCCCAAGTAGCTGAGACTATGGACACACACACCACACCTGGTTAATTTTTGTATTTTTTGTAGAGTCGGGATTTTGCCATGTTGCCTAGGCTGGTCTCGAACTCCTGAGTTCAAGCGATCTGACCACCTTGGCCTCCCAAGGTGCTGGGATCACAGGCATGAGGCACCACACCTGGTCTGAATCTATAATTCCAAAGTTAAAAGTTTTTTTTATAAGTCAAAACTATGTAAAAAGGTATGCTTAGGAAAGCGTAACTTCCTCCGCTCTATCCCTTCCACCTATTCCTTCCTCTGTCCCCCAGAGATAACCTATTTCATTATTTGTGGTATATCTCTGTTGCTTTTTGCAAAAATAAATACATCTATTTGTTTTTGGACTAATATGGACATACCGTTAACTGAAATAAATAGTAAATATATGGTATTGTTAAAGAGAATCTATTAGATTCTTTTCATTTCTTGTACAAAAGTATCTTCTCTATTTAGTTCTTTCTTTCCATATCAATTCACAGAAATTGTCATTGTCCTTGTTCTTTTCTTTGAGACAGGATCTCGTTCTGTCACCCAGGTTTGAGTGCAGTGGCATGATCTCACCTCACGGCAGTCTTGACCTCCTAGGTTCAAGCAGTCCTCCCAAGTAGCTAGGACCATAGCGCGTGCCACCATACCTGGGTAATTTTATTTTTTGTAGAGATGAGGTTTCACTATGTTGCCCAGGCTGGTCTTGAACTCCTGGGCTCAAGTCATCCTCCCACCTCAGCTTCCCAAAGTGCTGGGATGACAGGAGTGGGCCACTGCGCCTGTCCTTGTGTTTTTAATAGCTGTTTGATACTCCAATGTGCTGATGTCCTATTATGCAACCCAGTCTCTTGCTGACAGACATTTGAGTTGTTTCCACATTATTGCTATTGTGTATAAATAATTCTATGATGAGTAATCTTATGCTTGTATTGTTTTATATTTGTCAAGTTGTATGTTCACAGTAAATTCCTAGAAGTGGCATTACTGGGCCAAAAGATAAATATATATGAGCATTTGCTAGACATTGCCAAATTCCATTCCTTGGGATAGTACCATTTTATACTTTTAGATTTTTGCCAACATGATAGATGGGAATTGGTATTTCAGCATAGTTTTAATTTGCATTTCTCTCATAATGAACATATTGAGCATTTCATTTAAGGGCCATTCATATGTCTTTTTCTGTGGACAGTCTGTTCATGTCGTTTGTTCTTTTTCATAATAGGTTTGTATATTTTTGTCTTTTTCATCCTGATTTTTAAAGAACTTGTATATTAGCCTTGCAATATTTTCTCTCATTTGTCATCTCTTCTTTGATTTTCTTTTTGCCATGAAGAAGTTTTTTTTTAAGTAGTTAAGGTTATCAATCTTTCCTCTTATTTCTTTCTCCCACTCCTTGCTTATAAAGGAATTCATAAATATTTTCTTCTAGTACTTTTATGATTTAATTCTTTACATATAGCTCTCATGTGGATTTTATCCTCATATATGGTGCCAAGTATAATTCAAATCTGTATATTTCAAAATATTCACTTG